CCAGGACAATCAAAGTAAAATAAATATATTATTAAAACATATAATATCTTAAATATAATATTATGGGTTAAGATTATGAGTAAAATATATGAGGTGACCCATGAAATGTGCCTTCAATTCGGTGTTCTACGAGTATCTATTTGTACTCTCAAAGGAATTAGGAATATAATGTTAATTATAAGATGGCAACCCCCACTGTACTGTACTATGAGAAAGTAAATCAATTATTTTAACAGCATCTAATAACCATTTAATTAGTCCCACAAAATTAATTATACATTTACCCATTATCACCTGGAACTAAAAACAGCACCGTAACAGAACAATTGAATTTTGAGAAGGTTTCCTCTTGGACTAGCGTTCTACACTCCCGTTATTCAAAGATGAACATCTTCGCAGTTCACACATTAACTACTCTACTAGTGTATTGTTAGTAGAACTGTTAGTAGCGTTGATAGTATTGTTAGTAGTTACACCTCTAGATTTTTTCCCCCTTGCTCAGTACCCCACCAGAACAACTGATTATTGGAGAACACCTGATTTCTGTGCTGCTGCTGGCACCGTGCAACTCCATTTTCTCTCCCTAAATTTAGTATAATATCCACCCTAATCACGAGGATAAATGGCGAGGTAGTCTAGTTAGTGCGATACATTTCTCCCGATCCTTCGATAATGTCCAGGGTTGCATTACCCGGCGTGCTGGTCATACTGCGCGTCACAAACTCTCCCTGCTCCTTCATAAACTCTCTCTCTGCTCCTTCGTCTGTGTTCCTTCTCAACATTCCCTGGTTACTTCCTCCGACTTTGTTGATCTTACGAATTGTTAATTATTTGATTGTGTGATTGTTTTCGTTAAAATAATTTTGACCAAGAGGGATCCGGGGCGGTTTTTCTGTAAAATTGTGGTTGAGAATTTAACTAAACTACAGTGCCGATATTCTCGTCTCCTTGATTCTTTCTGTTGAGAAATCTAGACATCAGGTTGATATGAGAAGTATAGTTTGTGTTGTAGATAATGATAATACTCCGCTTGCAGCTGGTAAATGATAACCAATGGGAATTGTAATGTGTAACTTGATACCGATATACGTGGGATTGATACATTTTATATAATCGATACGTATGTAAGAGGGAGGATTAATTCCTTGAACTTGTCTTGCAGATGTTCACTTTGTGTACCAGTGTGTCTCATTTTGACCTACAGATGTTCACTTTGTGTACCAGTGTGTCTCATTTCGACCTACAGATGTTCACTTTGTGTACCAGTGTGTCTCATTTCGACCTACAGATGTTCACTTTGTGTACCACTGTGTCTCATTTCGACCTACAGATGTTCACTTTGTGTACCACTGTGTCTCATTTCGACCTACAGATGTTCACTTTGTGTACCAGTGTGTCTCATTTCGACCTACAGATGTTCACTTTGTGTACCACTGTGTCTCATTTCGACCTACAGATGTTCACGTTTTGTACCAGTACGTTTCAACGTCGTAGAGCAGATGTCAAAACTTCATTTTTTGTGCCAACATGACTGTTTTTTTCGATGTTGTATTGTGTATTGTGAAATGTTTAAAGCGAATTTTGACGTATTCCGATGACGCAAGTGACTGTGGGAGTATATCCGTCACTAAGTATCGTTACTTTCCTCCAGCGGCTGTATAGTGATTAGTCAAAGTAGTCCCAGATGAGAATGAGTATAAGTACCAAACATCATTACTGACGATGTTTATACGGATTGTTTATAAACAAACTGTAATAATTTAGAGTCTGCTGATAAGTTTATTAAAGTATCACGCTGTGTGATGATGCTGCGTGTGGTGGAAGCAAAGAGAGTCCTTACATTGCTTATTATTTCATCACAGCAGTGTTATGTGCCGCATCATGCGTGTCAAAAGTCTCACTCTTACTCTCACTCTCTCTTTCGCTACTGTTATTCTCTATTTTAGAGTGTGTTTAGGTTGCTGTCTTTTTTTGTGTCTGTATGTTTCTCTTTTTCGTTATTAATGTCATCTCTACTGCCGAAGGTCTAGCGTCTAGTGCATAGTGCATAGTGCATAGTGCATAGTGCATAGTGCATTGTGCATAGTGCATGATACTATCAAATAGTCACCAGATGAGCACTGAGCACTTATTATCACCAAATCTAATGGCGTGTTACAATGTCAATAAGTTTTCAGGTTGCATTGTTGAAAGGTCCAATTAATAGGAAGTAACTACAACTACAAGTTAATTAATAATTAGAAGTTACTACAAGTTAATTAATAATTAGAAGTTACTACAAGTTAATTAATAATTGGAAGTAACTACATCCACCTGTGAGCTGGTTCCCCGTCATTAGCACCACAAAGTGACACTAACCTCGTTACACTGTGAAATATCCAGGCCAGCTTCAATTTTCATTACGTGTGGCCAATGTGGAGGAGGGCCTAATTAATTTATGGTTACAATACAGTTTACTTATGTTTGCCGGCAGCTTGGTTGTTTTACCGGCTCCTCACTCAGTATTATATCCGTCTAGATTCTAGAGAGATTGTTTTGTCTGAGCTCCGTGGTATTAAACAATTTGTCAGTATTTTAGTATTTAGTTGGGATTTCTCCAGACTGATAATAAGATAATAGGTATATGTCTGCTGGCGCTTGTTTCAACTAATCCGTTACATGGTTTTCTAATTCCTTCCAGCATAACGCGGTGGTAAAGTTGTGATGAATTTGTTGGCGAGTGGTCAAAAATGAAAGTGCGAACGGCCGAAGGAAGCCATTGTAGTGTTTCTCTGTGTTGAATAAAAATAGCATTGGATCGTACAAGCGACACAACTTCGTTGCTTGCTGCCTGTTCTGACTTTGTCTGGTTGTGTTGGGTTGAAACGTTTTGTAACATATTATGGTTTTGTAACGTCACATTGTTTTGTCACATATTGTGTTAAGAGTAAATATTAAGTACGTAGCTGATCTATAATTTCCATTTCTTGCATTATATCATACAGCCCCGTGGGGCGTGTTTTGACTTTAGAGTGAAATGTATGTGAATGTAAAATGTAAATACACATTTGAACTTGAATTGAAGAGCACCTGGCACATACTATATAATACTTTATAAAAGATAAGATGGAAACGTGTTGCCCATAATCACGTACCCTAGTCACGTACAGATAGTAGTCATTTTGATAGATAAAGATCAGTATATTCAGTAGATTGAGGTGTATTCGCTGTGTTGGGCGTTTGTTAGATGCTGTTTTCTGTTTTCCGTTGATCGTGCCAATCTATATGAACATTTTGTTGATTTATATGCTTGTTTGATACCACAAGACTGTAATGGACCACATGTGGATATTATAAGGTCAATATTGTGGATGTTATAGTGGAGACAGTAAGATGGATAGGATGGACATCTCCTCAGGGCTCCTTCACTCCCCCATACTCCTCACATCTCCTCTGATAGACCTCTCTCATCTTCCTATCCCTCCTTCTATATCACCCCCTGCTCCGTACGATCATTTTTACTGATAATTATATACATCTTCTTGCATATTATATCCTTATTATCGAACGATGATCAAACTTTATCATGTATAGACAATAGTGTGACAACCTTACGATGTATTTTTGTAGAATTTTGTGTAGAATTTCTGGTTCAAAGGGTTGTACAACTAAAATCTAAAATTGAGTCGCATGATCACATCCCTTCAACGTTATCCCTGCAAAGTTATCCTTGCAAAGGTATCCTTGCAACGTTATCCTTGCAACATTACCGTAGCACCAATAGATTATTACATGCTCATTATATTGGCGTCAGCGTTCATTCCCAAATATCAAATTGTGGAAGTTTCCAGATAAATTGGTACTTTTATCACAATTTTAATGTACAGTTTACACTACAGTGATATGTTCTTCGTTCTGAAGTTCTTTATACATTTTGACAGAGTTATGTTTTTGATTTGGTAAACAAACCAAAATAAAGCTAAATGTATTGATCGTCAACACACTGATATTGCCGTGTCGTCAGAACTTAACGGTTGATGTAAAATTCTAAAAAATCTCTCGCGTGATACCGATACGACATAAAGTTATTTATAATTTCCATTTTCTTTCCATATGCTGGAATAATCCTCATTTTATTTACTCCCCAGCAACATCAGAAGTTATACACTAACCCGACCATTCTAATATCAGCCATCTTCAGACATTTTAACTCCCAACATATTATTATTATTAATTACACGTGACAACTAACCACCATTACAGCTGCGAGAATGTCACAAATCTGTGACGTCACAGACCTAGTCATTGGTTATACAATACACTAGTTACTGAGCAGGAAATATAGTGTGATGCGTGACAATGACCCGCTTCTAGTTTTGTCGCATATTATATATGACGTGGATATTGTCAGCAGAATTTAAAGAGAGTTTTTTTTGTGATCATAGGAGATCTCAGAGTTAATGTTTAGAGGAAATTGGAGATTGGTAGCGGGTGTCTTGTTCAATGTTCAAAGGGTTGAATGAATAAAATCTAAAATTGAGTCGCATGATCGCATCCCTGCAAAGATATCCCTGCAAAGTTATCCCTGCAAAGTTATCGCTGCAAAGTTATCGCTGCAAAGTTATCCTTGCAACGTTACCGTAGCACCAATAAATTATTACATGCTCGTCATATCTTCATATTGGCGTTAGCGTTCATTTCCAAATATCAGATTGCGGAAGTTTACAGACAAATTGGTGCATTTAATTTTTATTGAATTTGAGACACAAAACAATGGAATACATCTTTTTAATGATTTGAATATATCGTGGGAGGTCAAACAATTGAAACGGAATGCAGAAGAATTCAAATTCATATCTTTCTGATCACATGACTAAAATATTCAAAAAAATTCAAATAAGCAAATACCAAAATTAGATCTAATAAATAACCCAACATTCCATCATTGTACAGCAAAAAAACATTCCATAATTCCAATAAACATTCCAGAATTCCAAACAACACTAACATTTATCTTTCAGAGGATCAAGTGGGTACCATGGGTTGAGAACAACATCAAGTGACTGGAGCGAGAATGCGTCCAATGGAACTCACTACTGGTACGAATACGAGGGCAGCGCAATGTGTAACCTTACCACCCCCGACAAGGATTGCGTAAGTTTGTGTGTCTGTCTGATTAGGATTGCGTAAGTTGTGTGTGTGAGTCTGAGAAGGATTGCGTAAATTTGTGTGTGTGAGTCGAGTAATTATTTGCTGATATTCACCATAAATTCAGGGCCAGTCCATAAATTCAACAGTACAAAGTGGTGGCTGGAAAATTCTCCGCATTATATTTAGCAGCTGTGCTTGTATAAACTATCTCACATTCAATGGAAATGTAAAGCTTCAGGTTGAAATTTTTCTAGCTGCTCCTTGAAGAACGAAATTGATTGAATGAACAGGGAATCCTACTTCTTCCTGGAGCTTTTTTGTGTGATATAATATCAACTTTAGAGTGAAGTGGATATCTTTTTATTTCAACTCCTGTGTGAACATGTTATTTTGGTGTAATTATTTTTCCTGGTACTCTGGTAGCAGTTTGTAATACATCGGGGCACAAGTTAAACCAGGTTTGGTAGTTATGTCCACAATTTGAGCCCCTTGAGGAAACACAAGTTGCACTCTCGTACTTTGCAGGACCAAGTAGGGGACCTTTCCAGTCAAAATAATTTCTCCAGGGCTAAAAGTTGTGGATATATTGGATTCTTACTTAAATCCATAAATATGTCCACCAAAGTGACCCCGAAGGCCGAATTGCGGCCTTGAAGCTTGTTAAGGTTTGCCAAGGGTATATACTGTCTGAAAAAGACACCAAGCAGGTGAAATACTGTTATGCCTATTGTTTATGATTTTTCTAATGGAGAATTAAGAATCTTCAATATCCACAAAATTGAACCTTAAAGTTCACCAGTTTTTCTGTGCACCTCCACCTTCAAATGATTGATGTGATCCTAAAATATTTTCTAGATCCTAACCCAAAAACTAACGATTTTATTAAGGAAATGGTGGTTTTTCTTCAAAACAAGAAATTCCAGGCACCACTAATTTATGGACTGGTCCTTCAACTAATTTATCGTTAACGCTAATTGGAACAACTAATTTAATGCTATCTATTCCAGGGAAGCGTTGGGTACCGACGTAACAAGGTAAAGTGTGCCGCTTGTCGAATGGTTCTTCACGAAGACTGTCAGGAGAATCTCTCTGTAAAATGTCGGTCTACATTCCGTGATGCGAACTTTAAGAAGGAGTCCTGGACTCACCATCATTGGGTCCTGCAACGCAAGACTCACACTCCCAAGTGCAGAGAGTGCAATAAATCCCTGCCCAAAGGAGCATCTTGGGGTGGCGGGAAGAACAGCAAGGCCTTCATTGCCGTTACTTGTTCCTGGTGCAAGGACTCGGTGAGTTTCATAATAACGCTTTATTCCAGATACTTTTATTATGTTATTAAAGTAATGTTTAAAATGATCAACAATAATAAATGTTAGATTATGATAGAATTCCTTAATTATAATATATTTTCAGTACCACCCGTCCTGCTTCAAGCTGAGTTTGATTGAAGATCACTGCACTTTAGGAGATTTTGAGCAGATAATCATACCACCATATTGGATCGTTTTCGGCAGCAAGGTACGGAAAGTTTGTACTAAATGTTCACTGTTCAGTTATGTTCACTTTATATTACAATACATGATACAGTGAAACTTTAATCGTTAGACGACTTTGTTCAAATCAAAACTTTTTCGAAGTTAATTTTATCTGTTTTAAAAATAGGGTTAAATACCGAATCAACTAGATCCGGGGTTCGTTGTTTTACTGTATCTCTAACTATTGCACCTGCTTTAACTGGCTTCACCACCACACGTTTGTGGGTTTGTTTCTGGGTGTTAGTTTGTTTGTGTTAGTCGCGGGTGTTAGTTTGTGGGTGTTAGTTTGTGGGTTTGTTTGTGGGTGTTAGTTTGTGGGTGTTAGTTTATGGGTGTTTGTTTGTGGGTGTTAGTTTGTTGGTGTTAGTTTGTGGGTGTTTGTTTGTGGGTTTGTTTGTGGGTTTGTTTGTGGGTGTTAGTTTGTGGGTGTTAGTTCGTGGGTGTTAGTTTAGTAGTTTGTGGGTGTTTGTTTGTGGGTTTGTTTGTGAGTTTGTTTGTGGGTGTTAGTTTGTGGGTTTGTTTGTGGGTGTTTGTTTGTGGGTTTGTTTGTGGGTTTGTTTGTCTGTGCGTTTATTTCTCAACTTCTCAACCTGGACGCTTGTTTAACCGCTCTTCGTGCCAGGAGAAAAGAACTTTTAAAACGGTCGGTCGGGCGGTAACGTGGACAGCTGTAAGTTTTCACCATCCCCTAGCTTTCCTCTGCTTTTCGGGACACGCCTGCTCTTACAGCTAATCATACAGCCTTTTTATTCATCTCATACTCATTCCAAAAAACAGGAACTTTTCGTTGACCAACAATGAATAGAACTCATGTTTGAACTTTGAAGCTGTTTATTTTGGGTTTTGAATTGTTGCCTTGTTTCTTGACCTTGGTGTCCACTTGACGTTGAGCATCTTTAGTTTTGCTTTTGGATTTATCTCTGATTTATCTAGACTGATTACTGCACACACCCTTATCTCTTCTATAAACAGAGTTACACCCGAGGTAGTCACAATATCTTAGTTACTATTCTTACATTTCACTCCAATCCCTGCAATCTCTACGCCTTGAAGCCTAGAGTTTTTCAGTTGAGCATTGCGCAATATAACGTTGGAGATGTTAGTTGTTGAGCAGCGCACATTGGTAGTGAGCTATTATATATACACGCAGCTCCTTTGTAAATAGTGTAAGCCCACGATAGTAGTGTGTCGTGGCTCTAATGAGAGGAGGGCTACAGGTGTTCAGATAATAGAGATCGCTCTGTTCGACAAGAGGGCCCCTCCGCCCCTCCCCTTCAACCTTTAGAGTTTAGACCAGCATTATTAGTTAAGACAAGGAGGGGGAACATTAGTGATGTGGGGCCTTTTGTACCGGGGGAGGCGAGGGGGGTCATCTGGTTACCGTGTAAATCGGCACAATTATCTGCCTTTCTTCCTTAACAATGGATCAAATCAGTAATCACGGATCATGGTTATATGATTCCAAGATCAGCAAGCTATTTTACCAAAATGTTTCGCATATTTTAAGATTGGTTATAATGATGATAAATGTTCAGGCACGATCTGGTGGAAGCCGGAAGGGAATAGGAAGAAGGAAAATCAGCTACTCTACACGGCCGTCTTCCTCTACTAAGCGGTCAAGTCGGAGTAAGAGATTATCTGAGCACGAAAAGGAGGATTCCAAACGGCCCTTTCATGTAAGTTATAACTGGTTCACTTTACATTTTATTAATAGTACAGTCAAATACGTCCTAATTTAAGCCTTTGTCGGACAAAATTCGCAACAAAGCGATTTTAACGGGAAATGGTCGAAACAGGTCCCAGGAATCATTCCAGAGAATTCCCAAAATTTCTGACTTGAGCAAAATCCACAATTACCACTTGTTTACCACCTTTTTACCACTTTGGTTTTCCGCGAATAAGTCACGTTCTGAATATCCTAGAAGATTCTAGTTGAAAGCAGTGTGTTTAGAAAACAAAGAAGAACAACTTTTTCTTTAACAACTTTTTCAAAAATAAATTATTTAATTAATTAATTAAATAATTAATTAATTTTCAAATATTTCAAAAATATATTTTGATAAAAAATGTTCACAATTACATTACACGTATAAGGAACTAATTTTTATAAAACTTTTTTAAATTTTCACTTCCAATATTTTGGACTTTTCGAAATTTGTAAAGAATAACCACTATTTACCACTTTTTACCACATTGAATCTCCGCTAATAAAACGACTTCTGAATGTCGTAGAAGGTTCTAGATTGAACCAATGTGTTCAAAACATAAAAGAGAACAACTTTTTATCCGACAACCTTTGGATTAGATAATTAATTAATTAGTTAATCAATTTTTTAACAAATATTCAACAATCATACAAATTATTTTCGATCAAAATATTTTAAAATTACATAACACGAATAATTAACAACTCTTCATTAAATTAATCGAGAAATCGAAGCAGTACTTTATATAACCATTATATATACTAGATACGAGTCTTACTTATGAGTCCTCAGCTGGCACATTGGTGCAATTGTTCTGACATTTGAGGCAGGTTGATCCACAATGTATTCCTGCTTTTCTGCATAAACAAGCATTGCCACAACCTGCCTTTAAACAGTTGCAACTGATGTTTTGAATGAGCTTTTTCGGAGCTGTACTCATAAGAGTGGTCACTGGTACATGGCCCCATTGTTCATCTTCCATCCCCAGCTTATCGGATCTAGGTCGTTCTCATCCCACGCCTGCAGCTGATGGTAAACACTATAAGAATGCTGTTCAGCTGCCCCAGATGTTGGCGGGAGCTGTTTACACTTGATGTCTGCTGTTGAAGATTGCGACTTCTGTTCAAGAACTGAAAGTCTAGCTTCATCTAGTGATCTCGATTTTGATGAAATCAGCTGCAGCATCAAAAGTTCTTCGACATGCTTTATGGTAGCTGGTGTAGAATTTGCCGAATAAAAAACATCTATTACACTTTCATCGATAGATGCGATCGTTCTGAATAGCCGATCCTTACCAACTCTGTGGATCCGACTGGTGGTGTCTGATCCAGTGAAAGCGTGACACAGCAGTATCGTGTTTACGTGCCTTCAAGTTTAGGGGGAGTGGGGGTGCCATGAGTCAATACACATACGTTGAGTCTTATAATAAACATGTACTCGTGTTTGCGAACATGCTGTAAACTGCAACATAACATATTGCAATAGGCCATTACATTCGGAATATGATCTGATAAGATGGCACGAAACGGATTGAAAATGACGAAGTCATCAAGCAATTTGTTTATCTCGTTAGAGAAATTGATTGGGTTATCAATGATTACCTAATCGTTAATCACGTGACAGGGTGCTAGGATACTGTAATTTGGCTTTCTGCACGATTTCTGTGCCACGCTTTCACTGGATCAGACACCACCAGTCGGATCCACAGAGTTGGTAAGGATCGGCTATTCAGAACGATCGCATCTATCGATGAAAGTGTAATAGATGTTTTTTATTCGGCAAATTCTACACCAGCTACCATAAAGCATGTCGAAGAACTTTTGATGCTGCAGCTGATTTCATCAAAATCGAGATCACTAGATGAAGCTAGACTTTCAGTTCTTGAACAGAAGTCGCAATCTTCAACAGCAGACATCAAGTACAAACAGCTCCCGCCAACATCTGGGGCAGCTGAACAGCATTCTTATAGTGTTTACCATCAGCTGCAGGCGTGGGATGAGAACGACCTAGATCCGATAAGCTGGGGATGGAAGATGAACAATGGGGCCATGTACCAGTGACCACTCTTATGAGTACAGCTCCGAAAAAGCTCATTCAAAACATCAGTTGCAACTGTTTAAAGGCAGGTTGTGGCAATGCTTGTTCATACAGAAAAGCAGGAATACATTGTGGATCAACCTGCCTCAAATGTCAGAACAATTGCACCAATGTGCCAGCTGAGGACTCATAAGTAAGACTCTTATCTGGTATATATAATGGTTATATAAAGTACTGCTTCGATTTCTCGATTAATTTAATGAAGAGTTGTTAATTATTCGTGTTATGTAATTTTAAAATATTTTGATCGAAAATAATTTGTATGATTGTTGAATATTTGTTAAAAAATTGATTAACTAATTAATTAATTATCTAATCCAAAGGTTGTCGGATAAAAAGTTGTTCTCTTTTATGTTTTGAACACATTGGTTCAATCTAGAACCTTCTACGACATTCAGAAGTCGTTTTATTAGCGGAGATTCAATGTGGTAAAAAGTGGTAAATAGTGGTTATTCTTTACAAATTTCGAAAAGTCCAAAATATTGGAAGTGAAAATTTAAAAAAGTTTTATAAAAATTAGTTCCTTATACGTGTAATGTAATTGTGAACATTTTTTATCAAAATATATTTTTGAAATATTTGAAAATTAATTAATTATTTAATTAATTAATTAAATAATTTATTTTTGAAAAAGTTGTTAAAGAAAAAGTTGTTCTTCTTTGTTTTCTAAACACACTGCTTTCAACTAGAATCTTCTAGGATATTCAGAACGTGACTTATTCGCGGAAAACCAAAGTGGTAAAAAGGTGGTAAACAAGTGGTAATTGTGGATTTTGCTCAAGTCAGAAATTTTGGGAATTCTCTGGAATGATTCCTGGGACCTGTTTCGACCATTTCCCGTTAAAATCGCTTTGTTGCGAATTTTGTCCGACAAAAAGACGTATTTGACTGTACTATAATCTACGATGCGGAGTTTTCTTGCTAGTTAGAAGGATTAAGTTTCATGTTTTTAAAGTGTGCGATGTAACAATATAAATTGAGGTTTTGGTAGCTTCACATCGTTATCCAATTTCATCATCATATTAACTCCATTCTCATAGTTTCATCATCCGTCACTATTTTAGAATCATTTAAATGTGCACTGCTGTAGTGATGCGGTGACCTCTCTAAAACAAAACAATAGTCATTACAGTAGGTCAGTGTACATAATGTACATTGTACATGAACGTAAAAGGGAACGTGCTCATTCCATGCGGCTGTCAATCTATTATGTACATTTCACTGAGATACCTTTTGTGCATTGTACATTGTACAATGTACATCCAATGAGTTAATATATTCATCCAATCACGATGTATAATTTATCCATTATCTCCGTATCTTCAGATAAAAGTGCCATCATCAGTGCCACACAGTAAAACGCCCCTGTTAGTGTTCGTTAACCCGAAATCAGGGGGAAACCAAGGAGCTTATCTTATACAGGCATTCCAGTGGTATCTTAATCCAAGGCAGGTCAGCCCAGTTATTACTTTTTCATTTAATAACATATTTTATTTGAAGTTGTATTATTTTAATGACTATGTGCATTATTATCTTAAAGTTAAAATACACGTCTTCATAATATTATATCATGATAATATGCTCAAAGTTTTTTAATCTATTCTATGATAATAATATGATGTAACGTTTTAAGGATTAAAATACGAAATCTTTGAATTTGAATACATTCCTTTTCATGATGATTTGATATCAATACCCAAACCATATAAAACTGCATTTCCCCAGGTATTTGATATAAGTGAAGGTGGCCCTGGCCTGGCGTTATCATTATATCAAAACATCGTTAACCTCCGGATACTGGTGTGTGGTGGGGATGGAACAGTTGGTTGGGTTTTATCAGAAATAGATAAACTGAACTTTATCCATTCTCCTCCCGTAGGCATATTACCTTTGGGCACTGGCAACGATCTAGGTAAGGGAAGTCGTGATATTTAAATTTTAATTATTGAACTTTAATAATCTGTGTAGCTTTCGAACCTCTATATTATAATATCTTTGATGAGCCGTCTTGCCACCTTGACGGCGCCTTCAAAAGTGTGTAGTGTATTAGAGGTTCTGCTATATTGCAAAATTCGATTACTAATAGCTGTGCAGGCCTGCAGGCCAAATGTGCCAACTGTATTTTATGGAACGCGCGGAAACTTTTATTATAACTAAAATGTTCTAATGTATCTGTATTTTGGCGCGCGCTTCAAATTAATTAATTTTATTCTTAGCTCAGGACAGCATGCTGTAAAGTTGGGCTTTATTGCGTGTACTCTGTTACACACTGTAATATGGTGTTTGATGGATTGTACATTGAATTGTACAGTGGTTAATGGACGAGATTGATAGTTGTTGTATTGTGCGATAGCTGGTTTTAATACCACTTACCACTTTAGTGTGTCATCTCTTTAGAGGGCTGTTAAATATCGTGGTAGTGGTAGATGTATTCTACGAGTATCCCTTTCACATTATTTACTTTTAATTTGTATATTTGATAATTACATTCCTTTCCTCAGCTCGTGTGTTGAATTGGGGACCTGGTTACGCTGGAGATCCTGTCGAGAAAATACTGTACCACGTGACGGACGGATCTATACAAAGTCTGGACAGATGGGAGATTGATGTCGAGGAGTTGGAAGAAGAGGGTGACTCGTCTAACTCAAACAAGGCCGATGAGACTGACACTGATATTCCTGTTAAAGATGTAAGTTAAAGTTAGCTTTTCTATTTTTAGATTATATGAGCATTGCTGTTGTCCAGTTCGAATAAATAAGTTTTCATCGATAGAGTTCAAGTAATTACCGAATTGTAATGCAACAGTAATTCTAAAATTTCAATTACACAAATCTCTATATTATGTTCAGCTGTATACACTGTACAATTTTTCAGCTCCCCATCAATATCTACAACAACTACTTTAGCATTGGACTTGATGCGTATATCCAGTACCAGTTTCACACGGGTCGTGAGGCGAAACCTGAGAAGTTTAACAGCAGAGCCTATAACAAATTTGTTTATTTTAAAGGAGGCTTCGTGGATACATTTGAACAGAAGTATAAGGATGTGTCTAAGTTTATTGAACTTTGGGTAAGAATACAATTATTAATTTCTATTATTAGAAAAAGATACCATATTGCTCTGTCAGTCTGAGTTTACCACTGAATATTCCCCTGTGTCGACGTTTTTCCTAACAGCTGCATTCTGAAATGACAAATAACGCCCCCACTATTTAACTTATTTTTGTTTCTGTTGCTAAACAAGTTTTTTTCATTCAGTGTGACGGTAAAGATTACACGGAGAAGATTCGAGAAAAGAAGATTCACGTGATACTGTTCCTGAACATTAAGAGTTACGGGGCTGGTACTAACCCCTGGGGCAGTCACGTCAGTCTTTTTAAGATTATTCAAAATTTGTAGACAATTTTGTGTTAAATGCTCTCAGAATATTAGCAACTTATATAATTAAACAACTTAGGCCTTAGCTTACTTCAATACCATTTCAGAGTGCTGGTTCAAGAGTGCAAGCTATGGATGATGGGTTTATGGAGGTTGTTGGATTATTCGGGGCTGCCCAGATGGCTGCCCTTCAAGTTGGGGACACAGGTTTGTCTAGAGAGTTATTTAATAATATATACCGTATTGTTAGTTCTTTTGCTGGCACTACGCTAGTATTCTAATGGTTTTCATTGATCTTTAACTACAAGTCAATGTCCAACCCGTATTAATGGTGACTGTTTTTATTAATCGTGCTGTTTTTCAGGTTTTAGAATAACCCAGTGTAAGAAAGCTACGGTCATCACCAGGAAGGCTGTCCACTGCCAAGTTGACGGGGGTAAGTTAATAACACGTGGTCGGTCACGTGCAGGTCACGTGGTCGGTCACGTGCAGGTCACGTGCAGGTCACGTCGCTAGGTAACCAGCTATGTGGTTTAACATACTTACTTATCACTGGATCATGGCTGTCTCTTTATAAGATAACAGTGTAAGGATGAGCATAAGTAACTTGCACGTGGAACAAACCAATTATTGGTTACCAAGCATTGGGGCCAGATACCAGAGTTTTAGCATCTGTCAGTAATTAAAAGTGTAGTTAGTCATTAGTGAAGAATGCAATTATATAAATTCCTCGAATGATCTTTAGTCATAATGTTGATGTATACTAGGAATTACGAGGCTACCTATACAACGGACTCGATTCGTCTGCACGCAAACAAATACTGCAACTCATAGTTTCACCACGTTGCCTGATCAAGTTGGATAAATGAATTGTTTCAGTTGATTATTTTCATTTTGTTTTAACAACGATATAAATTGTTTATTTCAGACCCATAGTAGGCTTACAAATCGCTTTTATTTTAAATTTTATCATGAGATTTGTTTTGATAACCCCCAAATTAAGATCTGAGCCTGAACCATAATGGTTCTTGTTATGTGATAGAGGAATCCTCTGAATTAGATCAGAAATTGGAACCTTGCAATGAAAAACAACACGAGAAGATGTGGCTGTTTCAGTGGTGGAGAACAAAATATTTCAGTGGTAGAAAGAACAACATATTTCAGTAATAGAGAACAATACATTTCAGTGGTAGAGAACAATACATTTCAGTGGTGGAGAACAACATGTTTCAGTGTTGGAGAACAATACATTTCAGTGGTGGAGAACAACATGTTTCAGTGGTAGAGAACAACATGTTTCAGTGATAGAGAACAATACATTTCAGTGGTAGAGAACAACATGTTTCAGTGGTAGAGAACCTACCAATGTGCTTTGTTACAACAATCCTTACGATACTCATTCTTGAAGGAGAAAGTTTCAGCTCCAGTGTTTTTCTTGATAATTCTACTTTTCTATCGTTAGCTAAGAAAGCATTCGAACGACAATACGAGTGTTTAAATCAAAGTGTTGTCTCCTTTGGAGAAGAGGTAACTGGTGCTCTCCATTACCCATCAGCTCTATCGGACTATGCTGTGGCACAATATAATATGTGGACTCGGAGTATCACCTGAAGTTTCTTATTGCGTATACCAAATTTGGTTAAGAAGACCAACAGGATACTGTCAGCTCGCATCGATTGCTGCTTCAATTTTACTGCGAGACGTCTGAATGGAACATTGTCAAGCGAATGGGGGGAAACTTAAGCATCTCAGATAATATCAGCTATCAGTTATATAAGAAACATATCCACCGTCCTTGCCCCTTCTGCCCGCTTTGTCATTTCTTCAATCCTGAGCCTTCTGATTCTTTGTTTTAACCCGTTGAAGATAAATACAGTGCTCTCTTTCCTCATCCTAACAAGTTTCAACTTTATGACTTGTCTTGTAATTGTTACTGTATCAAGTGTGTTGATTGTCAGCAATTGTTGTGAACATCAGTCTCGGTGTGAAAAGAGATATTTCTGTTTAGATCTACTTGTTACTGCTGTACTGGGAATTCTCTGCCAAACTATATCAATTGTTACTGTATCCTCGAAAAGTTCGGAAAGTGGTGACAATGAGAATGTCAAATTACTGGATGAGAAGTTTTCAGAAACGTTGCTGGCGTCCTGATATCAGCTTTCGTGTCATGTTTTAACTCTATTGTTTTGCTACTTTAACTCCGAAAGTTCATGTTTTCCGTCGGGGCACTGCAAGTCGTCCCCTGTTAATGGCTAATTATTCTACTTTAAAGTGTTATTTAATTTCGAGATACATTTTGTAGATGGTCGTTTTAAAACAAATGAATAAATAAATAGAGGTTGTTATAGTGTATACTGTATACAGTATACACTATAAATTTGATGTATAACCTATATAATATTGTGTCATCCGTCTTCATTCGGAATTTTTATCCAACTAGATCTTTAAAACATTACAACAACTTGCATTAATGCAAGCACCCAGAACCATCATAATTGTGATAAAACAATTGATAGTAACAGTAATAAATCCGTCACACAGTACTATACAATGTATACTATACAATGTATACTATATAATCACAGTACTATACATTTACCATTTTCAGAGCCGTTGTACTTGGCCCCCTCGTGTCTACGAATCAGCAGGAGGAATCAGAGTTTGATGATTATGAAAACTAAGAGTATAAGACCTCATCCCAATCCTGACATCGGCAGTTCAGAACTCGTTAGGTAAATTAATGATTATTTAAACTAAGATTTATCAATAATTTGGTTTTACTTTTGAATCATTTGACAGTCTTCTGTGACAAACATTGGGCCACCAAATGCTACGTGACAAGCCTCCTGACTACTGCCATTTCAGCGCTAGTTCTGCTATAGAAACAGGGCCAGGTGACAGCCACCATGTACAACTTGTCACTGTTTTTTCTGCTTCAATTCCGGAAGAAACCGACTTAGTGGACGAGACAAACATCAACCAGACTGAGACAAATACAAAGAAAATAGAGACCACCATAAACGGAAGTGAGACAGATAACGGGAATATACAGACTGAAATCTCTGATCCTATGATTGGTGCGATGGATATTGCTGAAGATGACAAGATCACAAATCCCGATCACCTTCAGAGACACGAACAAACTGACGGACAAACTCATACTGACACATTAGTGTAGCCACATTTAAATAGCATTGCCACTTTTAGGCAGGATATTGGGTAGATAGCCTACTTATGAAACCGATGTAGCTGTTTCGTTTTACTGGTTACAGTTTGTAGGCCGATCTTAAATTCCCCGCGCGTTGTTTCGTTTTGAATACTTATTTGTATCTTGTGAGTTTTGTCTGTTTTATTTAACGCCTTTGTCTGACTGATTTCCTTTAAGATCCTGTGACTCCGACTTGACAACAAAATCTGTTAAACTGTATGGTGCCCAAAAAGTTGACGTTTTACCGATATTCTTGGCTAATTTTCTCAATCTTAAAACATTTCCCCTCCCTTTTACAGCGAGATATCACAAACGGCCTTTTACAGCGAGATAGCACAAACGGTGAAGATAGCAATCCACAAAGTGAGTTACACAGATTTTCACAAACACTATGGAAACATCGAGAAGTTACTGGAAATAGCATTGCCTCTCACCATGGTGGTTACCCGAGAAAACCTGGCTCTGGATAGTATCCGGCCTACCGTGGAGAAGTGTGTCAGGGTCAGTCTCTTTTATTTTAGTTACCATGGAGCTTCAGATAGTGGATAGGAAATTATATTATATTATATTTTACAATTTTAAAATTTAATTAATTATTCTATCTTTTAAGAGATGTACTCTTTGTGCCAAGATTTAAATGGTCAACACGAACAACTCTATTTACACAACAGTTACATTACTATTACAATGATGATGGTTCATTAAAATAAAACTTCTTCAGGATGAGGAAGACGTTACCAACCTCCCTGGTGCGGTCTCAGAAAACTGGGTATTCTTACACAGCGCCAACGACAGATTATACCCCATTTCTGTTGACATGGAATCTAAATTACCTGTTGCGGAAATGATCACGACGGGTATCTTTGTGTTGGATGTAGGGATAAAGGGGACGCCCAAAACATTTAGGGATAGAGAAGCAGATAGGCGGGATTTGTTCGCTGCCATAGAAGCTTCAGATATTGAAAAGGTTGGTCGTCCTTGCGGAAATATAACTGGATGTTTCTATTTTCATTTGAGCTATGACAACTTCCCGATGAGAAAATATCTAATTTTTTCTGGTGACTGAGTTATTTCCACCTCAACTAAAAATTATTTTAACCACCCTGCCTCCTAGGTGAACGCGTTAAGATCACGGTCAGGTATAGACTCCAGCTATGAGTACGAGGGGCTCACAATGCTACATTTCGCGGCCCAGCGGTTACAGGTCCAAGTAGTGGAGTACCTGCTCCTGCAGCAACTCTCTCTAGAGGACCTTAACCGAACCTCCTCCCTCAACGGCAACTCCGCCCTTCATTTCGCTGCCGAGGTTTATTTATTTTAATTATAGTGTGTTTTTCATTTTTCTTTTCGAATAAATCAATCAAGTTATGGGTTTGCTGTGGAGATTAGTAAATTTAATCACACTTTAGTGCCACTATAGAAATTGCTCAACTGGAAGTTATAGGTAGTTATACCTGGTTTTAACGCTTTACCCTTCCAGGCAGAAAGTTTAGAAATCTGTAAGCTCTTGTTGGACGCAGGATCTGATGCCAATCTTCCCAATTCCTCAGGGCTTCTACCTTGCGATCTCACTTCCCTTTTAGCAATTCGAAAACTTTTAGGCAAAATCGATAGCGATGATGCCGCGTCAGTAAACGATGTTGATCCTGGCACGCCAGTGTGATTTTTAATGTTTCAGTTTTTAGTTTTACAGTTTAAATGCCCAGGTTTTGTGCATGTTATGTGCGAGAGTGGGTAAGTTTGATAATCCGAATCGGTGCCGTTATAGTGAACTTTATTTTTAATTCGTATATATATTTGATGACATGTAGAATAATATTGCATATAGATATGTGATTTAATTTCGGTTTTCAATACTTTCAACAGTTGTTATGTAGTCTCTCAAACATTAACCAAAACTAATTGATTTAAGATTGTAATTAACGTTGATATGGTTTTACATTCCACCAACATGTTGTTCAGCGGTGTATTATTGAATCGTTGCTCATATGGATTAGGGAAGGGAAAGTTTACTTAGATACTACTGCTGGTTTCAGTTAATTTATTTTCTCACGATAGCCAGTCAGTCCTGTCTGATAGTTCGATTTACGTTGTTTTATCATGAACTGATTGCCTATCATTTCTAGAAAGTTCTCCAATTTCTAATAAAGATGGTTGTGTGAATTTTGAGTAATTTAATTTAGAGATGAACTAGTCTCAAGGCTCGAAATCTGAGCACTTTATTAATAATTAATATAGATTGCGCCGCAAGATACTGTGTTCGTACGAATATATTAAATGACTGTTGAGATTATGAAAAATTTTGACTTGTAACCTTTAGTTGAGAAATTGAGCCTTCAATGTTTTGATATTGATAAAATCTTTGATTTCGATTATCAAAATCATAATAAGCGGATTGTTTCTTTTTTTCACACGACATAATGCATATTATTATAAATAAATATATATATTGGCCTATATATTGGCCTATTCCAGACCAATATAACACTTACAACTTAATGTCGATAAACAGATCAGTGTACTGAATTCACAAGAAAAGACAGGTAGACGGTAGTTTGCAATTGCATGGAGACAAAAAACTCTGCAATTAAGCGCAAGCTGAACAATTCGCCAAATTTGAAAGATCAGACTATGTTACACGAAGTAGAAGCGATCAGCAAAAGACTTGTCATACGTTGCTTGACCCGCCGCGCACGAGTGCGCGGCTCCCCTGTATCTTAGAAACTCTATGGGGGTGAAATTAACTGTTAACGACTATTTAGTGAAACGACGATGGGGGTCACGACGTGATAGAACAAAAGACTTATTAGATAAATCACCGGCTATGGCTATTATATTATGCACAATTCAAGCAACGCAGTAATTACGCGTACGCAGCGCAACATTTAAAATATTTGATCCCTTTAAATTAAGGAGTTATGCATATCACAATGCTGGCAAGCATTACCGTCGCCCTTATATTCACAATACTATTTACCCCCTATACTATTATATCCCCTTTATTGTTTTCCAGGCATTAAAACTCTTTCGAACGTAGTTCAGCAGGTACATTTAAGTTCAAAACATTCTAATTCAATGTTAAAGATGACAGGAATAAGAAATAGTTATATGGAGGTTTTTAAGAAATTTTCGCAAAATTCGCGCCAGCATGTTATACGAAATTAGGTAAAAAACCCAAAATCGCCATATTCAGGTGCCTTAAAAACCATGTTAAAATTGAGTTAGAGATCTGAAACTTTGCAGGGCGTCTAGACCTTGTCCAAATCGACTGTAAAAAAAATTTCATGTTTCAGGAGTATCGTGAAGTGGGTTTTCTGGAACCCCTGTTTTACAACAGATTGTCGTGAAGATATATATATATATATAATATAGACGCTTTTTGCAGTCAATTGTAGCCTACATTTAAGTGTCCGTAGATTCGAAAGTATAAACGATACAGTCATCTCGAACCACAGGTTTTAAAGATAATCGTTTAGGCTTTAGTTTACATTGTATTGAAAAATAATTTAACGTCATCATCATCACTTGATGACGTCATCAAATTAGGTGTTTTAAAAACTTGATTTTTGACAAAGTAACATCTTTTCAAATCGATTTTACGCTATTAAGGAGTAATTTTATTCAAAATCTGAGGAAATTTTCATCTTAGATAATTGTTCAAGCATTCCGAAAATCTACCGGAATAGTTTCCTACCTTGCTTCTTCATAAAGATATTTGCTATTGAAGTTAGTGCTTTTTTGAAGAATAATTTTATAAAAACACAAAAGTTGTGAATTAGTATTCTCTGGTGTTGGGTCATCCCTTGGGTTGTGGAGCTCAATTTTGCTTCTTAAAGGTGTAAATTGTGTTATAGGCTAGTTTTAAAGTTAAAAATCGAAAAGTTGCACACGTGGGGACACGCCCAAATTTATTTAAAATAGCTAAAATCACTAAAAATTTTGATTTTCACGATTTTTATCAACTTTGGAGTCCCGTTGTGATCCAAGTTCTTTTTGAAATCTTCTGAAACGTTGCATGCTTATCAAACTATATATTAAATACCACTATGCAAAAATTTACGGTGATTTAATATTGTATGCGCACGCAACGTCCGCTCAAAATTTGCACGTGCGAAAGGTGAGAATTTTGCTCATTCGTGATTTCGAATATATTCTGCTTTCCACGATATTTAAATGGCATTATATATGAATTTAATGCCAACTTGAATGAGTAAAAAGTGCCATATTCAGTCGGTTATCGACAGATATACCTAACTAAACACAAGGAAACGTTTTCAAAGGCAGAATTTCGAAATCGTCGGAATTACCTCCTTGTTAATGAAGTTTCGATTGTGTAAATTATCCTGACATTATAATCAAAAAGAGATGATATTTGACCAAAACCCATAATCATGGGTAGAGTTTACCGCTGCCAGTGTCTCTCTTTTCCAAACAAAAGGAAATGATATTAATTTGAGGAACCGTCCGCTAATGCAAATTTATACCGAGAATTAAATCGGTCGCTCGCTTTTCCCATTCATTCACGGCTTACGAATTGTAATAAAGCTTATTAAATGGGAAAAGCGAGCGACCGATTTCATTCTCGGTATAAATTTGCATTAGCGGACGGTTCCTCAAATTAATATCATTTCCTTTTGTTTGGAAAAGAGAGACACTGGGCAGCGGTACACTCTACCCATTATTATGGGTTTTGGTCAAATAAATATAAATAAGAAAATTAAGTATTACTATTAACATACCTCTAATTCGCGTTCGATGCCATATCTAAAAAATTGTATCCTGATCCTATCGTCAAGAAAATTCCATTTACGGACGTGAGGAATTAGTTATGACTTAGCTTCTCCATTCTCCGCGATCCAACTATGAACTACATTAAATCAATTCCTTCTGTAACGTCCTCAATAAATGTAATAAGTTTCCCAGGAAAAGTTACTGGCTGGTGAGTGGTGGTGGTACTAGAGTTGGTTTAATTTAAACAGACGATGGACGACTCGACCTCGCGCGCGACGCGACATCAAGCATGATTTGCAAGCATGGCGCATTCCAATGTTCAAGCAGCTACCACGTGACACAATTCAGCCAATCAGAGTATAGTGCAGGCGCTCGCTGCTCCTACTAAATCGTTCGCCCAAATTTTAAGAAAATTCTTGTGAAAAGACCCTTTGAGTGTGAAATTGATCTGAATCTGGAATCGGTGTATTTTTGGACGCTGATTCCGAATCACCCCACATGACGTAGGGTAAAAATGCTTCCACGGAGAGTTATGGGCAAAAAACCGTTTTGGTCACTTGACAGGCTAGTAAAACATGAATTCGATCGTTTAGGGCTCGGGTTAGGGTTAAGGTTGTGGTAAGGGTTATGGTTAGCTTCGGGGTTAGGGTTAGGGTTAGGGTTGCCGGTTGGGATTGTAGTTTATGTAAAACCGTTTTGTACGGCTGCAAAACCATAAAAACCAAAGTCACGTGAAATTTTTGGGCGAGCGAATTAGTAAAAGCCGAGTACAGGAATCCGCAAAGTTAAAATTGCAAACTTTTGATCGGCCCGAAATGGGACTTTTCTGGAGATTTTGAGATAATTCAACAACTACGTTGTCTTGAATTTTCCTCCTGGGGAGGTAACGTTACTTGCATTATGTTACTGCATTGTGTTTCCAATATTAGAATTTATGATATGTATTGATTGAATAATTGGTAATAAATTTAACTTTTGTTTTATTAACTTTTGTTTTATTTTACTGGGCCGCGCTCAGCCTGTCATTCCGCCAAATCTTTATTCGGAATTTATTTATGTTAATGAACATAATAGCCTGGGGTCCTCAGGTAAGTTTTATTAAAAGAGGAACTTAATTGACGATGTCAATTAAATTCATCTCAGCTCGGCGCGGCACAGTAGCGCATTTCGCCGATCTAGTGAGAAGCCTCATTGACTGCGCAGCGCGGCACAGTAACGCATCGCGCTACAAAAGAGGAACATGATACAAAAACTGAAAGTCCTAGTCTCCAACTCTTTTACTTTCAAAGTTAAGCCCCATCCAGTAAGGGTTTCTGGGTTGTAGTGTTGTTATTATTTTAAAACTTCCAGATCTAGATCGTTGCTCTGCGAATTAACAAAGCAAAGATCTCGTTACTGGGCCGCGCTCAGCCTGTCATTCCTTGTATCACGTTGCGACCCCCACGGTCGTTTCACTGACGATACAGGGGGAGCCGCACACTTCGTGCGCGGCGGGTCATACAACGTATGACAAGTCATTCCGCCTAATTTGTTTATGAACATGATAATCTGAGGTCCCCTCGATGTTGACGGATGTTACTTATCTTTGTAGCGCGATGCGTTACCTGAGGACCCCAGGCTTTAATGTTGGTAAACAGCCCGAATAGAGATTAGGCGGAATGACAGGCTGAGCGCGGCCCAGTAACGCGATGCGTTACTGTAACGCGCCGCGCACTCAATTATGCTTATCGCTTGTCATATTGCATATATACGTTGTATGACCCGCGGCTCCCCCTGCACTGTATCGTAAAAACAACCGTAGTGAAACGACCGTGGTATGGGGGTCACGACGGGATACAAGCTTCTCGGTAGATCGGCGAAATATGCGCTACTCACATGTGCCTCGCCGAGCTGCAATGGATTGACATCGTCAATTAATAGGCTCTTAGTTTTACTAATTCGCTCGCCCAAAAAATTTACGTGATTAATGTGACTTTGGTTTTTTATTATTGGTTTTATTTTTACCTGAGGACCCCAGGCTATTATGTTCATTAACATAATAAACGAATAAAGATTTGGCGGAATGACAGGCTGAGCGCGGCCCAGTAAGTTTTATTTATGGTTTTGAAGCCGTATAAAACGGTTTTACATATGCATAAACCCTAATCCTATAAACCCTAACCATAACCCCAAAGCTATATTATCAATAACCCTTGGCCTTACCACAACCCTAACCTTAACGGGTGATACTCGTAAAATATCTGTTAACAGATATTTTTAAACTGTTTTGTTCACATGACAGGCTAGTAAAACATGAATTTGATTGTTTTGGGCTCGGGTTATGGTTAGGGTTGTACGTTTACAACCTACCGGTACGCGCGCCGACGGTCCAATATATGGAATTAACAAACCAGTTTTTTGCCCATAACTCTCCAGGGAAGTATTTTTACCCTAGGTCATGGAGGGTGATTCGGAATCAGCGTATAAAAATACACCGATCCAGATCAATTTCATACCCAAAGGGCCTTTTCACAAGAATTTTCTTAAAATTTAGGCGAGCGATAATTTAGTACATATAATAGTAGGAGCTTGTATCACGTTGTGACCCCCACGATCGTCCTGACGATACAGGGGGAGCCGCGAACTTCGTGCGCGGTGGGTCATACAACCTATGACAAGTAGGAGCGCAATTAATATATACTAGTCTAAATTTCTTCGAAGTAGCGCGCACCGCTTTCATCAGGCCCGACGTGATGGCAAGTGCTACGAAGTAGTGCGCGCCGGGCCATACCATTAACAATGGGCAATCTCGATGCGAAGTAAGAATGATAGTAATTTGCGCGGCGCGTCGAAGCGGCGAAGTCCTTCAAGGTTGCAAGGGGTTGCAACGTGTGTCAATCAAAATTTAATCGCGCCCAAATGGAAGTAAGGAAGTTGGGTTTGTTAAATTATTACAATTTAGTGAATTACAAAATGTGTGGTGATCACTGATCATGTATTGATTTATCAAAACAAAGAATTTTACCTGGTATTACTTGTTTCACGTTGTGATCCTCATCGTCATTTCATTTAATAAATGTACCGACTACCGTGGCGATAGCCACGATACCGTCACGCACATGTGCGCGGCGGGCCTTGCCGTGAGAGACGCAAGCAACTGACTAGCTAGAGCGCCACGACAATTTCCTCAATATCCCAACTACTCGATCTTGTCAGTAGTGAGTAGACATTAGTGTTATATCATATAGGCTATTATCCCGTATTGATAAAAATAACACGATTACCTTGTGCTTGCTACAAAAGATATCATTGTTCGTTCATCGCATGGAACTTTTTATTTCATCATTCTAAAATGTTTTGGTTTCTCACTCGCAAAGTAGCTCAGTTTTCTGACGATTTTCTAGACCAACTCCTAACAATTTGAATCCGGATCCGTTGTACATTCTTTCACGTCATGTAGTTTGTAGAATTGTATTAGTCTAAATTGTTTAAAAGATTGTTTGAAATTTATTTACGAGTAAAAAGTCTTCAAACAATCTAGAAGATGCTGTAAAGATATATTTACAGCCTCCACTAGTAACGAACCATGCTGGTATATTGTAAGAGATTATTGTGATGATAGCATCACTCCTTTCCGCTGTCTAGCACAATTAACCAGCCATTTGCATTGGTGAGCTATCATAAAGATCATCATTACAGTGTTCTCCTTATTCATCTCATTGTCATTTTACTTCCCTTTACCCTCTCCTACTTATTCTTCTGCTTGTATTATTGGTAACTCGCTAGATTATAAATGTTATTTAAACACATATGTTTACGTCAATTATTACTAAAATTAATATTCTTTTTGCTTTAATATAATTACATGTCACATAATTGATTAGTTGAATGAAACGTGTGCTACAAATGTCTACGCCTCACGCAGAACTGCGTACCGCTTGAGCGGTACTGCTGTTCACAGAGGCGCGCACTCAATTTAATCACAAATAACGAGCGCGCGGTTTTTGGAATTTCTCCATTATTATTATTCGATCTATTAATTAGATCACAGTGCTCACGGCCTGTACTGCGTGAACGACAGAAATATGTTTTAAATTATTTTGCTTCTGAAATTTTGGCTCTAGTAATTAAGAAATGCGACATGTAATTGTAAGATAACAATTAAATAGATCCTGTGCGCGGCGCCTACAGCTGACCTACGAATTTCTGAACAATTGAAAATTGTGGCTGTGTGCGCGGCGTACTGTATATGTGTTTGAAATTGAAATTTGAATTTATTTATGAATATAACATTATGTATTGATTGTTTTGTGGTAAATAAAAATTTTTCTTTCCTAAAAAAAAAAAATTTTTCTTTCCTTTATTTTTTGGAAATCATTATTGTTAATTTAATTGAGATTTCTCAACACCGACTTTCAAGTTGAGTACTCTCGACCCATTTAGTCCACATGCATTGCAGACTTAGAGCATGTTATTTGTTATGGTATAAGTTCCTAGCTCTCGCCGAAGATGGAACCATTCAGTGAAACAGAAGCTTAATCTCTAACTTACTTGTACTTGAAAAAGTCTCCTCCTAATCGTTGCAGTGGCCTGGCTGCACCTCACAGTAAATCCTTATTCCGTTGTATGAGACCTATCCAATGTACCCTGTCTGTTGCTTGTTGCTGTTCAGCTTCCATTGTGATATTATCGACACCTGTGAAAATAGCTGGAGGCAGAAATGATAATTTTGTAATTAAATCTTTACCATTGCATGTGAGAGTTTGTTGTATAGTTAGAAACCTCTTCAATGGTGAAAATTTCCAAAAACAAGTTGAAAAGTTTCAGTGTACTCAACAATTGTTATCATTTACTGTTCTATGTTGTGTGGTAAGAACAAAACAATATAAATAAATTGAATCCGCCATAGTTATTGACAATGGTAAATTGCTTGGTGTAACGTTATAATTTGAATCCATCACGTTTATGTGTCGGCTGAACTCTTGAGAAGGGCAAAAGGAAAACAAAATTTTAAGGAAAACAAAATGTGAATTGTATTGCCATTACAATGAATATTAATATCATAATAAATATGAATAAACATCCGATAATAAACTTGTTAGAACCAGTATAGCCCAAGATGCTCGACTAACAAATAAAAAGAACTAGCAGGTCCATGGTCTTTCAAACGCGCAAACATAGGCTTTACGGATCTAGCGATAATTCTACATCATATTAAAAATAAATTTTATCAATTAAAAATATCAACAGTCAATATAACCAATATAAAAATAAGATGAATTTTGCAATAAGGACCTTAAATTCGTCAAAAGTTATTAATATTCAATCTTCTGCTTTGATCTTAGCAGGTTCTTTGCTAGGATTATATTCTTCAGAAAGACAAAATCGGCTCTGATTAGTGATTTATGACAGTCATTGGTTTGGTTAGATCGCATAATTTAAACTTGGATCTTGAATTCTGACCCTGGCAGTCGTAGTATATAATGTAATATTCCTTCTAGAACCCAAGTATCTACCTATCCTGTTGCGATGACACTTAGGGCCCTTGGTTATTAATCAGCTTGACCATGATCAACGAATTAGCTAATCAAGGAAAACATTTTATATTTTGGTTTCAAGACTCAAGAACCCTTTTATGATCAGTGCTTGAGTTGGACACCAACAATAACAACGTGTACTTAAGTAAATTATTGGTTTCTCAACATCGTCTACTTACTTAATATTTGACGCCTCTAGATTCTAGAAGTAGCAAGATATTGAAAATATGCTTGATGGAGGGGTTCTCAAAACCCCAATTGGCACCAAGATTGAAGCAGCGACCCGTAAAGAGTTACCAGCCACAGATTGGTCATTGAATTTGGAGATTTGTGATATGATTAACAGTGCTCAAGATGGGTAAGTTGCATTTTATGTTCAGAAAGTGCATCATATCAGGACAGCAATCTGAGGGAAAATAATATAATATGGTTATATAAACTTATCATAAATATAATGATTTTATCTGTTACTGAAAAGTTTTGTAATAGGGGTAATAGTAGAAATGTTTTTCAGACCACAACAAGCGGTTAAAGCAATTAGAGCTCGATTACAACAGAGAGATGGGGTGATTGTAGACAACGTCCTTACTGTAAGTAATCAACTGTAGCTATTGATTAATATTTTTAAATGTTACATATCATGTTAAATCCAACAATGTTTGAAAAATGTTTTGATACAAGTCGATAAAAATAGTCATTGATTTGACGTAACTTGTATAATGAGCAGGTCTTTTGTTATATTTTGGAATTGAAGTAGTTAAGGCCAAATTTATGATCAATCTATTTCCTATGGTTTCATAATATAAAGTAATGTTTATTTATTGCTTTTTAACAAAAATACACTTTAGGTCTCTTTTGCTATACAATTTCGTATACATGGTCTAGGGTTCAACTCAAAATTATATTGAAAACTTGTTGTTGAGTCAGCAGCAAGATACATTCCATGTGCTGAACTATCATAATTATACTATCCTAGCTATTGGACACACTGGTGAAGAACTGTGGAAGAAGATTCCACCTGTTGATAGCTACAAGGGACTTTATGTGCGATCTCATCCGACTAGTTTCACCAAGGGACCCAACACCTCAACATGTTAAAGATAAGGTTTGTTACATTTCTATAACATTTCTATCACATAGTCTTGTGACAACATCTCAAATATCGTTAAGCCTGGATTGTCCTTTTACTGTCACATATTTCAATGATTAATCCGCAAAAATAATTGAAATATGTTTCTTTTTTTCTTTATTATATCTTCTTTATTGCTACATTACAGCAAACATTTGCCGCTAATATTTTATCTTTAATTATTGATTTGAGTCTAGTACATTCTACAATAATTACAACAGTACACAAATTAAGCCATAACAATCGCACTGCACAGTGTACAGTAATTATGTTTCCAGGCTCTGACACTGATAGAACGTTGCTCGGATGCGTTTAAGAGCGACAAAGATTTGTCCGCTGTGGGAGAAGCGTACCAGTACCTGAAGTCTCAGAGCGTACAGTTCCCTCCACAGAACCTCGATGATATGGTGGCTATTCACACTCCTAGAGCGGTGAGTTTGTGCTCCCTGATCACGTGATCGTAAATATTTGCTATATTTACTAATTCCCTCTAATTAGTGAATAAGTAATAATCTTAGCGATTTAAGTCTCTGATGAATGGATTCATGTTTTGTTGCTAGGTTTGTTACTCACTCTTAATTCTGTACAAAAGAAAACTGCTCCCATTAAACTAACGATGTTCACTACAGAGTCAGTCTGGTCCAGAGCCGGCACAAATGGCACAAATGGCACCGGTCCCTACATCAACAGATGCTCCACCAAACTACATCATGGTGACACATACAGTGCCTGCCCAACCCACAGGATATACGCCTCAACCTGCACCCCCTGCCGCCGCCGCCTACATTCCTCAAGCGGCACCACCGGCCCCTTACATTCCTCAACAACCTGCTGCTCAGCAGGGAAACCCTGGGAATCCTGGTTATCATACCTCTGGAATACGTTAGTAGCAGATATAGATACATTGCAATAATGTGACTATGTTACTTTTTTAAGCTCTTACTATAATTACGGTAGCTGTAACATTATTTTCTTAATCACCTGAAACTGCCCAATCTCGCCAACTTCTTCCACGAGTATTATCTATACCTCACTTTGATAACGTTATAAGACACCCTTAAAAACTCAATCAGTTATTGAAATGGACCATTACAACCAGGGCACGATGATTTGCAGCGACTAAACAAGGAGCTGCTGGTAGTAAGAGGTAACGACAGTGTAATGAATGATATCCTAGCAGACCTGACCAGCAACCCCAACCCTAGCGCAGACGAGTTACAGTTACTGCGGGTTAGTGTTGTTGTGTATATTTGGGGTGTTTTAGTTGCTGCTTGAACAGATTGTTGGGATATTATAGTGGCATTAATGACTGGTAAAATACTTTTAGGTTTAGTATTGCTTAATGATAATATCTATAACCATTAACCATCACCGCTCTTTGACTGCATTAACCAAGGTTGTGGTTTCTTGGTTAGTCAGTTAAACTCAACGAACAGTTTCTAGTTGTCTGGAAAGTCAGACTTGTTGGTTGACGCTCAAAGTCACTAATTCTGCTCAATTTCTGTAAGCAGAAGTTTAATTAAAGTAACACCAATTAGATCTAATTATGGTAATTGTGTCTTTATTGAGGTTCCGCCCATCTTTTCGTTCAGCTCTAATTTCGTTAACGGCCACCTGTTTTACGCATCAAAGTTCCTTCAATCATTTATCGTACTTTGAGGTTCTATCAGGTTCTTCCCAGTTCTACTGCACCATGCTAACCCCGCTGATAATCACTCTGATTCTAGTTCCAGCTCTGCAAGATGAACTGAAAATACTGGATACTCCTGATGGTACTATTGGTCCAGCTCCCTGTGCTCTCACCTGCTCTGGTGTAGGGAGATGGAACGATACTGATCCCTACTGTTGGCTGAATTCTGGATATCATACGGCAAAAGTGTACAGACATGTTGACATACGTGACTGTAATTTCGTATCAGCCCCCGTCGTTACAACGACAACAGGAAGCATATCATTTACCGGACTCTGTCCCTCCATAACTGTTTCTTTTGTTAACAGCAAACAGTTCAATGTCTACTCTGTGGAAGATGTGAGAGCCTCTAAAATGTTGAGAGATGAGTGCAGTGTCTATTGGTCAGCTTTTGGTTACAACTGTTAGGACTCTACTCCGACAGGATGAAATATTAGTGTATGAAATATTAGTGTATTGAATCATGTTTTAATTATTTATCTTAAATTAACAGTTTGTTTCTTTGTTGCCTTATTGTCTCAATAATGAAGTTCTAGATCTAAAAAACGAAAGAATGATCCAGCATACTATGAGATATGGACACGTTCATTTGAGTTTGAGGATATTGGTAAATATAAGTGACCCTATTAAAAGGCACAGTGTAGTTGACTTTGTCACACTATGAAATTACTTAAACCCTTGATGGTTAGGATAATCGTCTCATCCTCTAGGCTAACTTTGTCACATAACGATATCTTAATCAGGTGATAAGATATCGCTTAAATACGGCCGGCACGGAAATGGTTACATTGTCACACTATAAACATGTGACGGAGTAAATATGGACCCCTTGCTGCCGTTTTTGACCAAATTTTTGAGTGTCCAGTTGATTGGATGGGTACATATGACCATTACCTACATATTTGACGACTTTTTTCGTTAGATGGTGCATTCAGGTTTACTCTGTCACACATTAAAGAAAATATGTGATGAATGTTTAGGGAACCCTGATAAGCAATGCTTAGTAGTGTAAGTTTATTTGATGGCCTGGAAGTGCTGGGAATTGTTATTATATCATATAGTCGTAAGGAATTAAAACACAGAAGGCACAACCAAGCTTACTTTGTCACATAATCTTGATAATATCTGAACATGTGTGAAATTGAACAAATAATGATATACCAGCTTAAACCCCTTATATTATACGTACTATGGATCAAACAACACTGCTAGTACCATGCACCAGTCACATAAATCATTATCAGGTGGTAATATGTTAACAGTGTCACAATTAAACTACCGCTACATGGTCAAAAATAGGGTAATTTCGTCACAAAAAATTATTATAACTCTGTTAGCTCCTTGCTGGCAAAATAACTAGTTTATCGAAATTTTTTTGATGATAAAGTTACATAGTATTCTAATAGAGGTATAGTTCTTCAAAATAGGGGCAAGACATGTTTACTTTGTCACATCAGTTATTATAAGAGTTAGGTAATCGTCATCAGATTAAAAGATATTTTTCGTAGTTTGGATCGATTAATAATTTAATATACCTGTAATAAATCCTATGCCGTTTTAACACACTATCTTGATACTGTTGGGGCAGGGAAAGTTAATTTTGTCACATTTTCAATGTCTTTGACAAATTAATCTAAATTTTAAAAATTGAGTTCTTATGTTCTGGACAATATTCTTCCAATCGTTTCTGATAGAATGTTGAATTCTAATAGAGTTATAGATCTTCAAAATAGGGGCAAGACATGTTTACTTTGTCACATCAGTTATTATAAGTGTTAGGTAATCGTCATCACATAAACATATATTTTTTGTAGTTTGGATTGATTTATATAGGTAATAAAGCAGCCTATGCTAATTTTTACACACTATCTTGAAATTGTTGGGGCATGAAAAGTTAATTTTGTCACATTTTTAGTGACTTTGACAAATTTAACCTAAAATTGTTAAACTTAAGCTCTGATGTTCTGGACAATATTCTAATAAAGGTATAGAATATAGATCTTCAAAATAGGGGCAAGACATGTTTACTTTGTCACATCAGTTATTATAAGAGTTATTATAAGAGACTATTTCATTCTATAATCATTGTTTTTAATCTATTTACGATTTCGTATAATTTTTTGTGACAATGTAAACATCAACTGATCTTAACTTGCATCAACTACATTGTCATCATATAAAATTTTCCCGCCTTTCAAACCAAAATCAGATATAAATTATTCGCCCAAAATTTTAAATTTCATATATTGTGACAGAATTAACCTCATTTCCCAATAACCAAGTGCCTGTATTAGCTAACTATTCAAAATAACATATTTTAGGGCTATGCTTGGTAGAGCAACCATAAAATAATGAGTTGAAAGGGTTTTTAGGACACCTCACAGTAGAATAGAGGTATGGTATCATGAGTGTGACAAAGTTACCCAAATATTGCCTTGTAACCGTTCGATCCGTGCCCATTAACCAATGTTGTATCATAATTGTTAGATTGACCTAATTTACTATATTTCAGACCAAGGAATGATAATTAGACAACTGCAGTTAACTAAGTCACACAAAATGTGACATTTGAAACATTATAGTGCCTAACAACAATAGATTTTCTTTCTGAGCGGTGCATATGGGAGTATGGGTTACGTGGCTAATGTTCAGAACTTCTGAACGTGCTAGGTTAATAGATGTCAAAATTAAGCCACTATCGTCAAAAACGCTATTATTTTTGTTTACCAATATCCTCAAACTCAAATGAACGTGTCCATATAACCAATGATTTGGATTTGTACCACAGTCCCAAAATAAATAAATAACCACTTACCACATTCTAACAAAGTAACATTTTTCATTGTGTCTGGAATAGATTCCGGAAATAAATTGTTTAAAGGGACTAGCCACGGAAAATATTGCCAAAATACTTAGGCCTACTCATTACTCAACCAAAAAATATCTGCATATTACACATGCCCAGGATTAAACTCTTAAACCTATGTGGGGGAGTAAGTTGGTATCATAGCAGCTGGCTAATCTGTTAAACTTAACACCTAGTTTATAATTGTCTAGAAGGTCCAACTTGTCAGTCGACGCCCAAGGTCATTTAATCCAGTCTAGTGACCTTCAAGACTCGAACAGAATCCTGGCTTGGTCCTGGTCAAAATCTGTCTACGTTAAGATGTTTTGTAGTTTTTATTGATCACCCATCGTACTCTAAGGTCAAGTCCCTGTATGCTTATTGCTTAACCCCAACATGATAGCACTACTGATGTTAGTTCTAGTACCAGTTCTACTAGGTGATATTAAAATACTGGATACTCCTTATGGTGGTGTTGGTCCAGCTCCCTGTGCTCGAGTCTGTGCTGGAGTTGGGAGATGGGATGGATGGGCAGATTCTGGAACCTTTCCGGGGAAGGTGTATACTCATGTACGGATAGCTGACTGTGGTTTTTTAACTGCCCCTGTGGTTACAGGTATTATTAGAAGTGAAGTTATTACTAGAAGTGGAGTTCTTGTGTGCCCCTCAGTATTCGTGCGGGGTGTTTTATCATCACATTTTTCTGCGTATTCGGTGGAAGACACAACGGCTACCAATATGATGTCTGGCGAGTGTGACGTTCTTTGGACAGCAGTTGGTTACGTATGCTAAATTGTCCAGGGACTCAATGCGACATTTGAAAATCAATTCGTATTAAATTTGTTTATTTTTGAATAACTTCAAATAAAAGTGAATTTTTGTTTTTTTTTTCTTGTCTTCATACTTAGGGGGGGAGTGTTATAAAGTTGTTGTACTCTATAAGTGTATATTCACCTACAAGCATAACTGCTTGGCGTGATGAGGTACATCTTTGATTGGTCGAAGGTCTTTCAACAACACAGCATCATCATTTTCATAGTAGTCCCCGGCTTATGACGGGTTCATAGCGGTATTAAACATGTTTTTCTGGGCCCAAACATTCTACGCTCCTACTATGCTATTACTGGTCTCTTGACTAACTCCCAATCATCTGTCCATATGGTATTGTTTCTGGACAAATAGATGGTATACGATGCCCTCAGGCTGATCTCAGCGATCTTCATGCAGGCCTTCTTCTTCTCTTTGTTGTTTACGTTCAGGTGGTTCATAAAGGTTGGGAGGCTATAGTTGTAAATGCCTCGAGCTCCCACTTCTACTGTCTGGAGCTTGCAAGCCCATCCGTTGGCTTCTATCTCTTCTGTCAGCTGCTGATATCTCTTCATCTTTCGCTTCTCTTGATCAGCAAAGTTCTGCTCATTTCCACAAGTCAGCTCCATTAGATAAACCTTCTTTGCTTTATCTGAATAGATCACTACATCAGGTCTTAGTGGTGTAGCTGCAATGTGCTGCGGGAAGTTCCTCTGTCTCTCATCCTCATCAAATATTATCTTCCAGTCGTTGGCATCTGAAAAGAAATATCTTTTGGTCTTATGATGAGTTGGGTCAGCTAAGGTAACCTTCTCGCGCTTATTGCCTGCCTTGTGAAAGACCGACGGTGCCCTCTTCGATTCCTTGGCGATGTCGGAATTAAACTCT